GGGTGTTGTTTTAAGCATGTCTGTGGTCTCCTGGGCGTGCATGCACTGTGGCTGTACACTCTAGCACATATATCTCATGTCTCATTAGCATCTTAACTTGTCAGTTGGGGCTGTGTTTCTATTATTATAATGAGCAGAGGTCAGCCCAAGGACACTAGTCATGGGTTTCTGTACTTGCACAGATTTGGAGATATTTTCCTTCTACTCTTCCACCTCCTTGCTGCAGGATGTTCTAACCACAAGCTTAGGACATGGTGGTGCACTGTGGAACAGCCTGTTCTCTCCATCAACCTGACAAGTCTCTTGTTTCCTTTCAAGGGAGGCTGTGAACACCTGACCTCACCTACTTCAGAAGGATAATGCAGCAGTAGCCACGACGACCAAGAGAGATGATTCCAGAAGTACAGGAAACACCCCCTGCCCCAGATGCTGTGACTGTGCAGTTACACACAAGAGGTGAGTCCAGCTGGCTCTCAGGGTGCTCACTACCTTATGGGGGCCTGGAGGACATCAAGTCCTGAGAACGCCACATTCTAGAGGAGGAGAATGAACTGATAGATACACAGCAAAGCTCCGCATACTCTTCCTTTTCTCAGTGCCCGCCGTGTTCTTCATCAGTGTCCTCTCTCCTTTCACCTACTACTGTTGACTGGCTGGGAAAAATAGAACAACAGTAAAAATTGGAGACAAGTCTTTGGTGATGAAGAGAAACATTGACTACTTCCAGGATTTTCTAGCTTTGGCTATGATTGCAGTTTTCCAATTCACCTTATGCGGATGGATTAAGAGAAAGCTTCTGTTACAAATCAAAATGAACATGCCAGAAGTATTGGCTCAAATCAACTTTGTCTTATTAAGCCACTTAGTGAATCAAAAGACCACAGGCCGGGCACAGTGGCTCATACTGCACTAGAACTTCAGATGTTAAAGAGAAACAGTGATCTTAAAAGCAGCCACAGCAAGTGGGCTCCGAGGTGCTCACCGCTGCTGTCATGGTTCACGTAACATCACTTCTGCGTGCAGTGTCATGGGAGAGTGGGCTCCTGGGCCCCAGGTTAAGAGTCTAAGCACTACAGGCATACAGCTAGAGCTCTGGGAGGGGAAGGATGGCTGGGATGGAACCTAGTCTTGTCCTTTAGTCCTGGGGCCTTTTCACTCCTCACATGGCGGGTGGTGGGCATCTGGCAGGTGACGATGTTGATGGAGTCGAGGGAGGACACTGGTCGGGGCTGGGAAAAGCAAGATTGGAGAGATAATTAAGGTGGACATTATTTTTTTCTGAGCGTAAGTCATGGCTTGAAATCTAAAGAGCCTGAAGGAGTATCCCCCTACCCAAACCTGTTTTTCCCTTTTCCCGCAAGCCTTGTTTAGCCACAGGCCCAGTGCCAACACTAGGGGGCACTCAAAATCCATGAAGGCATTGCAGAGCTGGGATTGTTTGTGGTCGACTCCTGGGTGCCTGACATAACCAGGGGAGCCAAGACCCTGCAGCCAGGTGGCCTGGATTTAACCTGCAGCTCTGGTCCTACTGACACTTTCCCTTCCAGTGCCTCAGTTTCTTCATCTGTGAAATGGTGAGGACATTACAGCATTTACCTGTGGGGTGAGTTTGTCAACAGCAGCACTATTAACAAAAGGGACAGAGAGTCCCTTGTGGCGAGGGCTGTCCTGTGCACTGTGGGAGGTTTGCCAGGAGCAACTCCCTCACCCCCTCCCAGCAATCCCCATATGACAAACAAAAATATCCCAGGATTTTGAGGTCTCCTTTGGGTCTGGAAGCTGCACTTAGTCAGACACTTTCCCACCTGACACTTCCTCTCATCTATGAGACGGTCTGTGGGCTTTATGCTTTGGTCCACATAAAACCACTTTGAAAGAAGGATTCTGTCCATCTTTAAACAAGTCAGTTCTCTTCCTTTATCTCTGCATTCAGTTAATCCTTGCACACTCTTTGTTTAGTATATCTGGAAATGTATCAGTTCCAATTCCAGTAGCAATTCATGATACCTGGTATGACCTCAGTACAGCTCTGATTCCTTTAGCACAGATAATGTGTTCTCAATTCTGCTCTGGGTGATGTAAATCCATTTATTTTGGTTTACTTGTTTGAGATGTTGTTCCTCATCTGTCAAATGTAAATGCAGACATGGCTTGAACTACTAAGTGGTTTTATTTCTTCATTCCCCTGATGTTTGTTGTATTCTTACTACAAGTCAAACACATGGCATGATATTGCTTCCTTGATCACACCACATCAGATGAGAAAATTAGGCATTATAGCCAGCTGTGGGGACTCACACCTGTAGTCCTAGCTACTCGGAGGGCTGAGACAGGAGAATTGCTTGAGCCCAGGAGTTTGAGGTCAGAGTGAGGTATGATATCACCAATGCATTTCAGCCTGGGCAACAGACCCTGTCTCCAAAAAAAAAGTAAAGACATGGTGAGCTGTCTACATGGACTCTGTGTCTTACAAGATCCATGTCCTGTAATTTTTCTAAATGGCATCTCTGTGTGGTTTCCATGAATGTGTGTCTGGTATTTCTTTTCTATGCTTTTCCTTTCAGCTTTTCTGTACCTTCTACTGAAATTATGGCTTTTGTAAATAGCCTATGGTTATTTATGGATTGACTTATTTTTCCCCCTCTGCACTATTTGTCTTGTCATTGGAGTGTGTGAGTCCATCATGTTTAATGTCATTGTTGACCTCATTGGATTTAAGTCTGTACATTGTCATTTGCTGTCTTCTAACATTATGTATTTTTCAATCAACTATTTTTCTTCTGTTGCCTTCTTTAGATGAATAAAAAAGTTTTCATTATTGTAGTCTTCTAAATAAGTGTTCAAGTTACAACTTCTCTTGTTATTTACTTATCCGAGAAAGCACAATAATCCATGACTTCCTGTAACTGACAGCAGATCATAACTTCCCTGAATTTCACTTATCTGTGCAGACAGCCCAGGGGAGAATCAGTGCTCTGGCTCTGAGACACAGCAGATGGAAGCAGGAGAGTAACTGGATGATGAAACTGTAGCTGCAGAGGCATCCGGGCCCCTCACCTGCACTCCTTGTACATGTCTCCTCCACTGAATGCCTGCGATGCCCTCTCCTCCATATGCTCCTGCCAGAGTCTCCCCATCTCCACTGACAGCAGCTCCACCCTTCTACTCACTCAGTCCAACACTGTGGGTGTCCTTGATTCTTCTTTCTCACACCACAGATACAATCCATTAGCAAGTGCTGTGAAGTCCATCTTCAAATTCATCCAGAATCCCATCACTTCCCACCATTTCCCCTGCTCACACCCCAGTCAAGGTAACCAGTGTCTCCATCCTGGAATACTGTGCTCCTTCCCCACCATTTCCCTACTGCCTCACTTGTCCCCCACCTCTCGATTCTGTTCTCAGCACAGCAGCCAGAGAGCAGCTTTCAAAGTGTAAGTCCCACCATGTCCTACTTTAAAAAACTGCCCTCTAACTCCCCATGTCATTCACAGCAAATGTCAAAACCCTTCCCACACCCTCCAGGCCTTTCTGCTCTGGCCACACCTCTGAACTCATTTCAGTTTCTCTGTCCAGCCCTTCTGGCCTCTTCCTCCTTCCAGGAACACAGACACTTTCCTGCCCTAGTGCCTGCACTGAAGGTTCCTGCCTGAAAAGAGCTTTCCCAGTCATCCTTGTGGACAGCTCCTCACATCCCTCAAATCTTCACTCAAGGGTCACATTTGCAATGAGGCCCATGCTGACCACCCAGCACAACAGCCACCTCCCTGTCCCCACAGCCCACACTCTGGATCCCCTGCCCCACAGCACTTGCCACCTTCTAATTCAAGCATTTTCTGCTATGACTCTGCTTATACTATAACTATCATATGCCTACAGAGGAGTCCAATCTTCTCGCTTCCCTGAACCACATGGAAAAAAGAATTATCTTGAGCCACAAATAAAATACACTAATGACAGCTGCTGAGTAGAAAAAAAATAGAAAAAAGGGGAAAAAAGTATGTGCATAATTTTCATGGTATCTGCCACCACAGATCAGCAAAAACGTCCTCACATTGGAAGCTGTCCTGAGCCACATGCAGCCTGTGAGCCGTGGGTTGGACCAGCTTGCATCCGGAACATATGTACCACAAGGCCAGAAATTTTCCTGTTTTTACTTACAGATGTTTTCTAAAGGCGAAAACAGTCATATACCTTGCAGACAACAAATGTCAGTTGAATGAATGATCACTGAAGGGCACCTCCCTATCCTAAAGGAATATCTTTATTACTGTAGCCTCAGGCCAAATGCTGTTTTGTGGCAGCTACAGAACAACATCATCTCACACCAACATCAGTGCTGCCAGAGCTTTTCTCACCAGCGCTGCCTGTGTGCCCTCCCTCCCTGCCTCCCTCCCTCCTCCCACACCAACCCTCCTGCACGCTGCAGCACACAACCATATTTTTCTCTTCAGAAAAGTTAACCCTAGGTTGATGGTTCCCATTTTCAAACCACATAGGAATCTAAATTAGAGTGTGCTTTATAAATCCATGAGTTTGGATTGGCGCCAGTACTAGGATTACTACAACTCAGGGCAGGAAGAAGACTAGGAGAGAGAGCAGAAGGAGTTCCAACAGAAAGTTACCTACGATGAGAAACTACAGGAGCTCTCCTCTCTGCCAGTTTCTGAATCTCTTTAAGAAGGTTGGGGAAAGGATGGAAAATGCAATTCAGGAAAGAAACCTGAAAGGAGGATGAGAGGAACATAGGTCTGAAAATTTGTCTCCTGTTATCACAAGGACTTCTATGTGTAGAAATCACCATACGTGACATCCAAGCCTCTGTGATCACAGGTCATGATGGGACAAGGTTCTACTGAAGGGCCAAGGACAACAGACAGCAAAGATGACTCAGCTGAGCAGTGACTACATAAAGCCCACGGTGGCCTGCTCATCCACTGGGCACAGCCCCATCTACTGTCCACCCCTGCAACAAATCAGCACAAGAAATACATGGACTGTGGAAGGTTCTCAGGTCTTCCATTTACTTGGTTGCTCACATTTCAAGAATCTTCTGCTTTAATTAACCCATCAATTCTCATGGAAATAATTTGAAGAAGTAAATTATATTCAGATTCTAATTTTAATAGGAAACTAAGAAGTTATAGCTCAGTGCACCTTAAAGTTGAGACAGAGATGGAGACATTCCAGCCCCAGGTCTCTGGAACAGAAAAGGTGATCGGGGAAGGAATGCAGGTCAGTGTGGGGAAGGGGTCATGGTGGACACGGGGCTGGGCTGGTCTTCCCACCTCCTCACATTATGCCTATAGGGACACAGACACATTCAGATGCCTTTGCAGTAAGAGAAGTCAGGGTTCTTGAAGTTACAAATGGAAGGTGTGGATAAAACTTGACTCTCAGTCCCACACAAGGCAGCTGTCTCACACTATCTCACACTATAAAAAAAAATTCATTAACAAATTTACATCAGTCACACTTTAAACAACCCATCACCACCTCAATACATCCAAGTCAAAGAAACCCCATAACACAGTTGTGCCCACTGTTCCCCCTCAACTACCTACGCACATCAGCCTCCCGCCCCAGGGTCTCACCTTTACAAGCTGTGAGAGACACATCAGAGCCCTGGGGACTGTCGCTGCCTGGAGTACAACAAAAACAGGACCTTGTCAGAGCCCACAAGAGATGTCCTGGAGGAGGAATTGTGGGCTGGGTGAGCTCCCCCATGGGCTCCCGACCACAATATCCCAACAATCTCAGGGATCAGCCTCCTTCACACTTACCTGCAGCCTGAGAGTAGCTCCCTCTTTTACTATCTGTGGGAAGAAAATGTCCTACGCAATCTCAGGGATCAGCTTCCTTCACACTTACTTGCAGCTGGATGGTAGCTCCCGCCTTTGCTATCTGTGGGAAGAAAATGTCCTGTGAGAGGCCAGAAAGAAGGCAGGGCCATGAGGTCCTAGAGGAACCTCCTACTCTTGGACTGTAGAGAAGTTTCCAGAAATGTGACTACAGACCCAGGGCAGGATCAGGAAACATGAAGAAAGTAGATGTGGGTCCTAGACCTACTGCCCTCCTGAGGTCTGTCCTCAGAAGGGACCTTCCTCTGTGACCTGTGACTGCTGGGACTAGGTCCCTATTGCCACAGTCATCAAGGTGATGCATTTGTCCTTCACTGTCACAGGTGTTTTACAAGAGTAAGTGCTGGCACACTGGGCCCACACTGGGTCGGCCCATGAGTGTGGATGTTGCTTCCCAGTAACCTCAGTAGGACAAGAAAACTCAGACCCCACCTCTAACCCCTTCCTTACCTGAGCTTTTCTTCCTCCACATCACAGCGGCGACCACAGCTCCAGTGACTACAGCTCCAAGGACAGCCAGGGCAGCAATGATGCCCAGGATGGGAATGGTGGGCTGGGAAGACGGCTCTGGGAAAAGAGGGGAAGGTGAGGGTCCCTGACCCCCACGCCCCAGCCCCAACCCTGCTAAAGGTCTCCAGATGGGCTCCTGCTTTCCCTAAGAGACATGACACCCCCTCCTTACCCCATCTCAGGGTGATGAGCTCGGGCAGCCCCTCATACTACACATGGCACGTATATCTCTGCTCCTGCTCCTCTCCGGAAGGCACCACCACACCCGCCCACTTCTGGAAGGTTCCGTCCCCTGCAGGCCTGGACTCCATAAGCTCCATGTCCTGGGTCTGGTCATCCCATCCCGCTGGTCAGTGTGATCTCCTCAGGATAGAAGCCCAGGGCCCAGCACCTCAGGGTGGCCTCATGGTCAGAGACAGGGTGGTGGGTCACGCGTGTCTTGGGGGGCTCTGAAGGGAGTAGTCAGAAAATTCAGGCACTTTGCATCTCTCATGGGACACCCCAGGAGTGTTCACGTGACCAACCTGACAATGGACAGGACACCTGGGGTGGGGAAGGGAGCACAGAACCCAGACACCAGCCTGGATACAGGCACCTGGGGTAATCTCCTATTCCTTGGAAAGTTCTAGTCTCTGAGTGGGGGAGCAGGGACTTCTGGTCCTGACCTGAATGGAGGCCAAGGGACTCAGAGGAGCTGGAGTCAGACCCCCACACACGTTGAATGTGAGGCAGAGGACAAGGCCTGAGATATAAAGTCACAGTGTCCAAGGCTGCTGTGGGGGTCAAAAGTAACCCTGATCAGTACTTCAGGGATTATCTTCCCCTCCTTTTCCTCAGAGACTTTATCCCTTAATTGCATCAGAGAGCAGGGCAGGCCCTCAGAGTCACTCTCCGGTACAGGATCTGGAAACCCAGGAGGATTCCTCTCCCTCACCACCGGAGGGACGGCGATATTCTAGTGTTGGTCCTATTTCCTGCCCTCGTTGTGTGAGGCCAGCCTGGGAGGTCTACAGGAGATGAGGGAGGTGCCCCATAGCCCCTGTGGCCCCTGGCGCCCGTGTGCTGCAGCGTCTCCTTCCTGTTCTCCAGGTATATGAGGAGCGACTCCAGGCACCTGCCCTCCAGGTAGGCTCTCATCCTCTCAGCCTCATTGGCTGCCTCCCACTTGCGCTGGGTGATCTGAGCCGCCAAGTCCGCGGCCGTCCCGGAGCGCAGGTCCTCGTTCAAGGCGATGTACTCCTTGCCATCATAGGCGTGCTGGTTATACCCGCGGAGGAGGCGTCAGGCAGGCCCCAGGTCGCATCCATACATCCTCTGGTAGGTGTGAGACCCTGGCCCCGCCCCCGAGGTCGGCCCCGCCCCAGCCCAACTTGCGGGGATTTTGGCCTAAACTGAAAATGAAACCGGGTAAAGGCGCCTGGGGCTCTCCTGGATTGCGGGTTTGGGCGGGTGCCGCAGCCTCACGGTGAATCTTGGACCTGGAGACTCAGGGCGACCTGGGCCCTCCGTCGGGGATGGGGAGGGATCACTCACCTGCCTCGCTTGGTTGTAGTAGCCGCGCAGGGTCCGCAGGTTAGATCGCTGAGTCTGTTCGGTGGCCTTGGAGATCTGTGTCTGCAGGTCCCAATACTCCGGCCCCTCCTGCCCAACCCATGGCGCCCGCGGCTCCTCTCTCGGACTCGCGGGGTCACTGTCGAACCGCACGAACTGCGTGTCGTCCACGTAGCCCACGGAGATGAAGCGGGGCTCCCCACGGCCGGGCCGGGACACGGAAGTGTCGAAATACCTCATGAAGTGGGAGCCTGGGGCGAGGAGGGTCTGAGACCCGCCCGTCCCTCCTCCCGACTCGGCTCCCCGGGTCCTGCGCTCTCGCCTGGCGAGCGCCCGGCCCCTCTCCTGGCAGAGGCCGTCTATCTCTTGACCCCGCATTCACTCGTCCTGGTCTCGGTTAGGAGCAGGGCCCCCGAGAGCAGCAGGAGGAGGGTTCCGGGCGCCATGGGTGGTTCGGGGCGTCATGGGAGACTCGGGACTTTAGAACCGGGACCGCGGTGAGCTTATTGGCTTCTCCAGGAACCCGGCACCCAATGGGAATGGGAACTGGGTTCAAGTCGTGAGTACCCAGGAGGAAGGTCCCGACACAAGTGAGGAGAGGAAGAGAAACTGCGGAGATGGGGAATCCCCAACGCTGATCCTCCCCAATCCATACACCTCCTTTGGGGCCTGAGACCCTGAGAGCCAGGTCTGGGGCCCTGGGACTTCGCCCTGACCCCGCTCCTCCTGTGCCAAGCGCTCTGTCCCAATGTCTCCCTGAGTCTTGGTCCAGGAGCTGCTGAGAAACCAGAGAGAAACCCTCAGCATGGGCCCCGTCCCTCTCCCTTCACATTTCATCCCGGAATCCCTGTTCGTGAACTGGACTTTCTGCCTCCCACTCCTTACCTGTCCCCTGGACTCTTCTAGAAGAAAATTCACCCCAGGGAGCTTGGTGCCAGAGACTGAGCTCGCCCTGGGAATGGAGGTGCAGAGACAGGGTGTTTGTTGTTTTTCTTCCAATGTAGAAAGATTTTACCTGAGCATGAAATAGCACAGAAACCAGTTTGCTTTTTGTTTATGAACTACAGTGGGCAGCAGAATCTTGCTAACGCCGAAATGATTAGGAACCTAATCGATAAAAAAAAATTATGACTTTGGCCCCTTGATATGTAAATGTGTATAAAAGCATTACAACAAGACTCAGAAATCTCCTAGATTTTACTTTCCCAGACAATGTATCTGTGACTCCAGCTTGTGGTATTTTAAATTTGCCTTCATTCCACAGCCCTGAGTTTCTGGGTGAGTCCAGGACATCTCAGTACAGAGTAGCTCACTGTGTTATGTATGTTACAACCAGGAGCCAGTACAGACTTCATTCACCTCACAGTCGCAACTGTTCAAGGCAGTCACAATGCCCCTCACCAGTGCTCATGCACTGCCTGTTTTTAGGGAGTGTCTTTTATAGAAACCCAATTAACATAAGAAACAATTAGTTTTTAGGCAGACCTACATAATGTATTAAACGCCAACTGCAAAGAACAGCCTGCTAGGATCTGTAATTGTATTTTAAAAATCTGTAAAACAATGTGTTTAAACCTGAGAATTCTGCTGTTTTTGAATTCCTTCCCTCTGCTCCTTTTCCTTACCTCCTGTTTCTTCAGCCCTTCCCTCCATCCCTCTCATCCCTAAGGCCCTCCTCTCCCGTTAGTCCCCTGTCACTCCTGAATTGTGACACAGCAGGTAATTATCCCATTACCTGCTATGTGACTGTTCTCTCCACAGTGATCCTGCTACTGTGAGTCAGCGTGTGTCATTTCTTCTACTAAAACACTCCAGTGGCTCAACCTTGGTATTGTGAAGCTTCTAGAATGTCAAGTACATGTGCATATGAGGGTATACCTGGTTCATCGTAGGGACAAAATTAATTTTTGTTGACTGAATGAATATGAGTGTGTTAAATTGCATCACAGAAAATTATAAAATGTGAAACAATGAAAAAGTTAAGAAAGATTTTATTTTATTTAAATAGTGTGCATATCAATTCATCAATTCATTCCATGAATCTGTTGAGCCTATATATGAATTTTATGACTGTATAACACATTACCTCAACATTGGCTTTAAACAACACCCATTTATTATATTTATTTATTTATTTTTAGAGACAGACTCTCCCTCTGTCATTCAGGGTGAAGTGAAGTCACATGATCATAGCTCACTGCAGCCTTAAACTCCTGGGCTCAAGGGATCTTCCTGCCTTAGTCTTCAGAGTAGGTAGGACTACAGGCAAGTGCCACCACACCCAGCTAATTCAAAAAGAAATGTAGAGACGAGTATCCTACTGTATTATCCTGCCTGGTCTGAAATTCCTGGCTGCAAGTGATCCCCCTGTGTAAGCTCCTCAAATATTAGAATTAAAGGTGTGCGCTACTTTGCCTGGCCTAACAACACTCATTGATCTGTTTAGTCCCTTAGTCAGAAATCTGGGCATGGTGTGGATGGAATCTCTGTCCTGGGCATCCCAAAGCTGGGTTTTTAGAATCCATTCAGGCTTATGCAGAGGTGACAGAATGCAGTTTCTGGCAGTTGTAAGACTGAGGTCCCTGTTCCTTGCTGGCTGTCAATGTAGAGATCAGGGAGATATGTGCTCAATTCCCGGTGCCCACCAGCGTTCTTTCCTACCCAGCCCCTTCATTTGCAAAGGCGGTGGAGAAAACCCCTCATGTGGAATCCCTCTCACACATAGAATCTCTATGCTCAGGAAGGACCCAGTCTTTCAAGGGCTCACCTGATTAGGACAGTCCGAGCAGGATAAACCCAGCCTAAAGTCAACTAATTGGGGCCCTTAATGATATCTGCTGAATCCCTTCACAGCAGCGCCTACATTAGAGTTGGTTGAACAACTGGGGGTAGGTGAGTGACCAGGAGGTGGTTGTTGGGGGCCATGACAGAATCAGCCTAGCAAGGGTTGGATCTTCCTTTTGTGTTTAATTGAGACACAGTTGGAAATTGAAGTTCAAGTAAAGTGATCATTGTGAATGGTAACAAAATACATCTTCTTCGGCCATGGAAATTTTCCATACATTTTAAAACTAAGTTACATGTTTAATATCTTCTTATAATTAATTTAGGCCAGGTGTGGTGGCTCATGCCTGCAATCCTAGCACTGTGGAAGGCAAAGGAAGGCAGATGCATTGACTCTAGAAGTTCGAGATCAGCCTGGGCAACATGGTGAAACCTCCATCTCAACAAAAACTTAGAAAATTAGCCAGGCGTGGTAGTTCATGCCTGTCATCACAGCTACTCAGGAGGCTGAGGTCAGAGGATTCCTTGAGCCCAGGAGGTCGACACTGCAGTGCATGTTGTCATGCCACTGCACTCCAGCCTGGGTGGCAGAGTGAGACCCTGTCTCATAAATAATAATGATGGTGATAAATGTAAAGCAAATGCAAATTAACATGTAATAATACATCCTCTCTGATGAAAAAGTGTTAGTTATTTACTATTGCATAAAAAATTATGTAAAA